TGCTTTATGGCACCCAGAGTTGCTCCGCATTCGTCGCAAGATTAAAAAGTGATACTACTATGGTTCCAAACATATTGCTCCTCCCTTGTAAGACTTTGCAACAAACGTAATACGGATTCAGTTAATGGTTTGCTCGCACACTCGCGAGATTGTACTATACTCTCAATGAAACACGTATCGTGACTTTTCCTCGATTCATTACCATGTAGGTTGCCACGCAAACAATCACCTCAACCAGAATCTGTCCTAGGTCAACGTCCTTGGTTTAAGTTCTTCAACTGATCTTGAGTCGCTACGAATACGGCGTGGCAACGCAATACGCTGAACTTGCCTAGAAATTTTCACAATGCTCTGGGATTTAACCGAGTAAGATGCGAGATTAAGATGATAGTTTGGCAAAATGCTATATGAGACTCACGGCATTAAGTGTCGGATAAATGGTATGTTTTCAATAAGAGCTCAAGCAAAAGTGCGTGAGGGTTTAGCTCAGATGTAGCGCCGATTACTGTAGTCAATGTATGCGGTGACTCCGGTGCTCATTACAAATCATTACAAGTTCCTTCCGAAAAAACTAGTGGCTATAAACCCATAGCTGAAGATTGTCGATGGCGAAACAAGCTTTTATCTGGTTGTACTACAGCAATAGAGTACTCATAGCCAGATCTGACAGCGGAGCTATGGTTGTTATACTTGGAAAAGTTTGATATTGCGTAATTGGGCGTATTGATCAATCCGGTATGGTGTAACGGCTAACATTGTCGCCTTTCAGTATTTACGTTCGAGTTACGTAATTTACTCGCGCGACGGCTCGGGGTTCGATTCCCCGTACCGGAGATCTTTTTGGCTGCTCCGTAACTTTTATTTTTTCGCTCACCAAGTCGATTGGAACACCCCAAGACAGGCAAGGCCGAAAATGGTTTTTTGCTCAAATTTTCTTGATTGAAAGCGTCTTGCGGCATTATTTAAGCACTGGGCAGATAGATTGTGACGTATTTAACACTAATAACCCGTAGGATTCGTGTATGTCGTGGGGTTCTTTCACGTTGCCGGGCGGGCGGGGTGATCGGGATGGTCACGTGATGCATATACCAGCCCGACGCAGAATATATGCGCAAGGTTCTTGTGGTCTTGCAGTTAGTTGTATCTTCAGGACACTTGAAACACTTGATGCATTTATATTCATCAGAAGATTAATCTCACAAGTTTTATCTGTACAACTAGAAGCTCTCCAATTTGGCGGACCGGACTCTCAATGTATAAAGTCTTCCCGTAAGCGCTGCAATCATCACTCACAAGCAATCAATGAAGCAATAGCCCCGTATCTAACCCGTGGATTAGGATTCCCATATGCTGTAGGTCATTGGACACCTTAAATACATTATTTTTACTTGATAAATTGATATCACATATAGATAACTATATCCTGCCGTACATGATGTCCCACAGTGATCCAGTCGATACGACCAGGTCCTTCTGGATCAGTGTGATGCGTCTGTACAAACACCATCACGTCAGTGTTATGGAACATTAAAACCCGCATTGATTGTATGCGCGCCAAGCTTGACACCCGGGCTTGAACTGTCCTACGGATAAAATATATTTAGACGCTCGTCCGAAGCTGGGCTCTGAGCGTTATACTCATCATCGCCAGTTCTCACGGCCCGCCAAGACAGCCTCACAAATCCTATCTTATTTTTTGGCTTGGTGCACGATAGGTCGGCCAACTTCAGGGAATAGGGGCGTAAAACGTGTTGACCAACCGCTTCTAAGAGCTCTCGGTAGGTCACCGAAAATAGGT